GACGATGGTGACGACGATGATGATGATGACGACGATGATGATGATGACAACGAGGAGTCAGAACCAGTGATACGAAGAAATCCTCCTCGAGACCGATGGCCACCGCCATGCGGAACACATTCTCGACGCAGGCATCGATAGATTTTTTTTATATTTGTATTTACTTTATTTTGTTTAACTGTAATTTTTTATTATTTGTCATTTAATACTTACTTTATTTTGTTAAATTTGTTGGACTTTTTCTTAATATATTTTAGTTAATTTCTTTATTACCATTTAATATCAGTTATTGTAATTTGGTTATCATTTACCATTTAATTCTTATTGTAAGTTTGTTGTATTTAAATATCAAATTGTTATTAGTTTGATAAAATTTAATAATAGTGTTCATTTTTTTAATCTTCATCAGCGATTATCGAATGACATTAACTTGAAGTAAATGCAAATTAAAATACAAGAATTATTATTTGATAAACAAATACATCATTTCCTCATCAATTGTTACTTGATGACAATAGAAGTGGAAATATTTTTTCTAGTGTGTCCTGGGTTTCTACAATGGCCACATCTTCTGTCTTGTCTAGATATTTCTCGAATATCCATATCGCAATGAATTCGATTGGATTTTGGAAGACCACGCTCCCTCAATAAATTTAGATTTGGTACAATCGGAAGCCAATCTTGAACCTCATCAGGGTCTTTGTCATTACCTATGGGGGAAACTCAAATTCGTATTCCTTAAAAAAATTCAGATAGTAGGTATACGGGATCCACAAAATGGTTATAGTCTTGACGTGTATGTGAGCAAGCTTCAATCCCTTGAAAAGGTCAGGGAAACTTTGTGACACGAAACATTTCATGCCTTCTAGAGAAGCTTGTTACAGACATTCCATTTGATGCAGCAATTTTTTTTTGTAGATCTGCAACTAATCTAGGGTGATAGACATGACCGCCTTGCATCCAGGTTTGAGCTTGTCCCCCGAGCTTCGCAAAAAGTGCCCCCAAACGAAAATATATAGTTTTTACCAAAGCCGGTACAAGTAAGTGACATGCACCCTTTAAGGTTGAATTGATTGCCTCAGCCAAGTTGGTCGTCATGTGTCCATATCGATATCCACCATCATATGCGTTCGTCCACATTTCTTTATCGACGAGGCTGATGTAATCATATCCTTCCTCGTTCTTCGCCCGCAAATCTTGAAGCATTGATTCAAACGTTCGAGGAAGTAGTTCGTAACCTGATCAAAAAATGTATAACTTACTAACTTGCTTTCTTTACAAAATTAAAATGATAAAAAAATGTATAACTTACTAACTTGCTTTCACTTACCCATGCGCATAATTAATTGACGCTCATAATTCTTCTTGTACCTTCCATGATAGTTCGCAGCAATGTGTCAGAGACAATACCTATGTTGGACAAAGGGTGGTTGCCACATTGGACCCAAAGACTCCATTGCTGCTTTGATCCCAGCTCCGCGATATGAAATGACACAAATTGTTTCCCTCGTGATAACATGTGCACGTAAATTTCGGAGAAAAAAACCCCCAAGAATCTGTATCTTCTCCTTCGACAAGAGCAAAAGCAACTGGAAGAATGTTGCAATTGCCATCTTGGACAACTGCCAATAATAAAACTTGCTTGTATTTTCCATACAAGAAAGTCCCGTCGATCTGGACCATAGGCTTGCAGTGTTTGGCAGCATTAACATACTGTGGGTAACTCCAAAAAACCCGGTAGAATTGGCATCGATCGCGAAGAACTCGATCATTATGGTATGCATAGGAGGTTTTGAAGTCCACAATTGTCCCAGGATTCAACGTCCGCACCAGCCTAAACCAACCTGGAAGTTCGTTGTAAGATGCATCTCATTCGCCATGAAGTTTGACAATGGCATTTTGTTTTGCCAACCAAGCTTTTTTATAGGAGACGGTGTACCCATACTGCGATTGTATAGCTGAAATCAACACTGCAACAGCTATATGAGAGCTTGCTTTTACCATGGGCATGATGGCTTGGCATATCACTTCAGAGTCCAAGTTCGGATGATCTTGGTTGACCCCTCCAGCACAACATGTGTGAGGACCGTTGTATACTGTTAGTTCACATATGTTGTTTTTCCTCTTCATTTTTCGATACGCGAACCATCCAATTTCATCCGTTTTCGCGTCGGGCACAGTAATATTCATATTTTTCGGTCGTCGATCGGTTGACTCTGGACTGAACAGAATTACGGATATTGTAATTTTTGATAGTCATCATCGCTTCTTCTTTGCTTGAAAACTCCATGCCTAAAGATAACTCACTATTATTTATTGATGAGTAATATCCATAGTCACCGAGATGAGGCATATCCGCAAATTCTGCCTGTACATTGCACCATAATCAGCTTCATACATGTGTGCATGAGGGTCAGTTTGTGCCACATTTCCTGGAACTTCGTCATCATCGGAGTTGAATTGCGGTGATTCTGGGTGAATGAATAGTTCAGTCTCAGCACCATCCGCACCAGGCTCACGAAGCGGTTCTTCTGGTGGAGATGATGGTTCCTCCATACTCTCCACATTTAGGTCGAAGAACCTACTACTTGCACGCCTTCCCCTTGAACTGGAAGGCATATCGACATTGAGATCGAAAAAGCTCGCAGTCGAATGCCTCCCCCTAGAGCTTGAAGTCATCGTGTCAAATGGAAACTGCGTTGCGTCGATGACATCTCCATATGGTCAAAGAAATTTGCAGATGAATGCCTTCCCCTTGAACTGGACGCGGTGTTGCCATACGGATTATTGGTGGACCCACCTCGGTACATATCGTAAGGAGTTGCGGATGAATGTCTCCCCATTATGGAATTAAAATCTTTACACATTATTGTAGTCGGGCTGTCAACTTGAACAACTTGTTCAACCAGCCCATAGTGTGAGCTTAAAGATTGACCCCCGAACAACACGCACTTGAACAAAATGTGCATACATCTCAATAGCGGTGTCTGAATAATTACTTTGAGCTTCAACCATCATTTGAACATCATCATTGTTCGAAAGTTCGAACGCTGTATAAGTTAATGACAACAATGATGTTGGAAATCTGTACTGCAACGACGACATTCTTCTGTTACTTCCAACATGAATCTTCCTCGAAATCTTCGTTATTAGCTCCTCAAGAGTTATGTTTCTCTTGAATGATATTTTAACACGCTCATTTGATACGAGAATAACGCCGGTTTCATCTTCTCGAATTTCACCATCATAATATACAATAGCTGAAAGTCGCGCCATTCTTTGAGTTTAAAAGTGCGACAATATTATATCTGCAAAAAAATAACTTAAACAAACCTGATTAAATAAATAAATATATAAATTTTTACACATCAACGTAAATAATTTAATAATATAATTATATTATTACCTGCACCGCAAAACTATTTCGACGTATGCTCTCGCTTTTCAATTTTACAAACATAAAAATTAATTGAAAATAATTAGTATAATATTTTTTTTCAAATAATGATAATAAACAATAAGTATAATTAAAAAATTATAACAAAATTACCTTATAACGAAAAATCGCACGAACTTCTAAATCAAATTTGAGAAGATTGCGAGAATTATTACTCGTTGACGGAATTGTTGTATTAATTTATAAGAGAGGAGAGATGCGAGGAGATGTGAGCCGGAGGAGTGTATTTATAAGCATATAAGGCGCGGTACCTGCACCGCGTTATATGTAATTATTCAGATAAAAGATATAGCACGGATCAGGGACCGCGTTAAATATAATTTTGGCGTATAGCGCGGCCCCTGATCCGCGCTATACCCCTACTTGGCGTATAGCGCGGATCAGGGAGCGCGCTATACCCACATGACGCCAGATCACCGTATATCGCGGGGCAGGGGGCGCGCTATACCCTCGTGATGCCAAATCAGCATATAGCGCGGTGCAGGGAGCGCGATTTTCTGCTAAGGGTGTTAGATCAGGAAATATAGTCTGACCGGTGTTAGATCGGTAATAATACCGATCACCGGTGATATACCGGGAAAATAGCCCCTTGTTAATGCATATTTATTTTTTCACATTTTTAAATCACAACTTTTTTTATAGATAAGTGACGACGTCAATCTTATTGTTGATTTTCGTCGCCGGTATTTCTTTATTTTCTTTTCTCACATCCTTTTTTGTTTCCAATAATTTTGTTTTTATGGAATGATTTTCTTTGTTTTATGTCACGATTTTTTTTGCCTTTTGGCATATTTTTGAGTTTTTCTATTTTTGGCAGTTTTTATCATTTATATTTTTAGAGTTGATCAAGTTGGCGTTCATTTAATATTCTGTTAATTTTTACTGTTTTGGATCATCGAATTGGATTGGACATGCAACATGGGTTCGTAGATAATTTTTTCACGATGCTTGACTCTGATTTACATTTGCCGGTGACCTTTCAGTAGTTAAATTCTCTGTTGTAGTTTGTTTGTCGTAACAGTCAAATTTATCGGTAGCTACCTATTTTTCAAGTTTTTTTTGATGGATTTTTCACATTTTCATTATATGATCATTATATGATTATAAGCGACTAAATTTTTGTGTTGATAATTATGAGAAATATCTTAATTATGTGTTTAGTTTACGAATCTAGTTGTAAACCTTCATTATAATTTTGGATATTTTTTAATAAAATTAATTACTTTCATTTAAAAGAATAATAATAATAATAATAATAATAATAATAATAATAATACATGCTAATAATCAAAATTCGGTTTAGAGATGAAAATAAAAGGTAGAGTGGCTATTAATCTTTATATGTGAATAGAGTGCCTAATACTCTTTCTATTTCCTCAAAGTCAATAGAATCCAACCGTTAGATCGATACTCTTATTAGCTACCAAAGGCGCACATCCAAGTATAAAAGCCCGCAAATCAAACGAGTTTTCCACACTCTGCAGCTCAACTAAATTATTTCTGCAGTTTTTTAATCTTTCAATTTTTTTATTTGATCCGAAAAGGTTTAAATCAAGTCAACGTGTTTTTAAGGCCTGATGGAAACGACGTCAAAGCCAACGGGAGGCCGGAAAAAGGCGGTTTCTAAGTCGGCAAAGGCCGGACTCCGCTTCGCGGTGGGTCGGGTTGCCCGCTACCTCAAGAAAGGCCGTTATGCACAGCGTTGCGGCCGTGGCGCTTCCGTCTATCTCGCTGCCGTCCTTGAGTACCTTGCTGCTGAGGTATCTATCTTGCTCCTTTTTTTTCCCTCAATTTTGTTTTCCATTTTCTCTCGATCCGATTTTACAAATTTTGTTTAGTTACAAAAAAGAAGAAATTTGAATTTTCAGCGACAGATTTTACACTAAAAAATCAGCTTGTGAGATTTAATTCTTCTATATTTATTTTTCTGTAACTGAAAAAATTGATAGCTCAATTTTCTTCTTCTTCTGGTTAGGTGTTGGAATTGGCGGGGAATGCGGCACGTGACAACATGAGGAAGAGGATCAATCCACGACACGTGTATATAGCTGTGCAGCGGTTAAAAAATGGTGTGATCGGTTAAAATTTAGATCGATTATGTTATATCATTCAACCGAAAATATTATCAAGTGAAATAACAAATTAGGTAACGCTTATATAATAAAATAGGTTAATTATTAGAAACATTATCAAGTACAAGGTAGTGTTTATATAATGTAATAGGTAGCGCTTATATAATAAAATATGTTAATTACTAGAAACATTATCAAACACAATAACATATTAGGTAGTGCTTATATAATGTAATAGGTAACGTTTATATTGACCTATTCTATCATAAACCGATATATTTATACCGGTAACATTATAAATTTATTTTAATAAAATATAATAATCATAAATTTTTATTTATAAAATTATAAATATAAATATTTTAATAATAATATTGACATAGATAATATTAAATAAATTATTTTAATATTTTAAAAATAATATTATTATTTTGTTAATAAATAATATTATTTTATTGTATTTAATGCTTATAGTTATATTGTAATTATGAATATTTTCCATCACTTCATTTTGATTATTTTTTAAAATTATATTGTAATTATATATATATATATATATTTTTTATTTTATTATTAGAAAGCTAATATCGAAATAGAAATACCGTGTCCTTTTTTCATTAGTTATATTGTGACAACTTACAAACTAAAAAATTAAAATTAATTTGTATAATTTGTGTTTACTAATTTTATTATTAAAAAGTCTATTTTTACCGATTTTGTTATTGTTGGACATAATAAAATCAATAAAAAATACCTAAAAATTATTATTTCTACCTAAAACATCAATGTTTTTTAACATTTTCGGTAAAACCGGTAAAAAAATAACAAAACCGGTAAAAAAATAATAAAACCGGTAGCGCTTTACCAAATATATTGAAAGTATCGATCCTTTTATAAAAAGGATCGATACTTTACAATATAACCAGTAAAAAAATAACAAAACCGGTAAAAAATAAAAAAACCGATAGCGCTTTACCTGATATATTGAAAGTATCGATCCTTTTATAAAAAAGATCGATACTTTACAATATAACATGTAAAAAAAATAACAAAACCGGTAAAAAAATAACAAAACCGGTAGCGCTTTACCTGATATATTGAAAGTATCGATCCTTTTATAAAAAGGATCAATACTTTACAATATAACAGGTAAAAAAATAACAAAACCGGTAAAAAAAATAACAAAACCGGTAGCGCTTTACCTAATATATTGAAAGTATCGATCCTTTTATAAAAAGGATAGATACTTTATAATATAACATGTAAAAAAATGACAAAACCAGTTTTATTATGACAAAACCGATAAAATTTACCTGATATGTTGAGAGTATAGATACTTTTTATAAAAAAGAATCGATATTTTTTTTTGAAAGTTATGTAATTTATGTTTCAAATTTTTTTAATAGTATTTCATATTTTCCACATACAATATTAATTTAATAATTTCATTTACACAAAAAATTATTTGATTACTTTGATATTTTATAAAATATTATTTAGAATTTAAATTTAACAATATTAACCAAAGATAATAATAAATATGTAATATATATGTTTATTGTTTTTAATTTAATAATAATATATACCGTAACATAAAAAATAAATCATTAGGCGCGTATAATTACTAAATTGATATATCTTAAAACTCACTCAAAAGATAACTTTAAATTAATGTTTTCCACAGTGAAATAAGTATGAACACTTTTATAAAAAGGATAGATACTTTACAATATAAGCGCTACCTATTACATCATATTTTTACCTATTACATCATATTTTTACCTATTATATTGTAAAGTATCGATCTTTTTTATAAAAAGGATCAATACTTTCAACATATCAGGTAACATTATGAAAAAAAGGTAAAATTTACCTGATATGTTAATTTACCTATTACATTATAATTATTGGTTTTGATGTTTTTTGGGTCGATACTTGTAGAAAATGTATTGACACATATTTAGGTAGTTATTGTACATACCTAAATATGTACTGCGAATTTAATGTTGTACCCACCCTTTAACTACCACTACCAATACCACATCCTATTGAAAGCAGCACGACTGAAACATGTTCAAAATGAACCTTTACTTACATCTCCATCAACTCCGGGACCACTGAACTTGCACAACAAAATTTTTGCCATAGATCATACAGATGTAGACAATGATAAGCCAACCGAGGAATGCCATGAAGTACATAATGTTAATGAATCTGATAGATTGGTTGGTCAGCTCTTTTGTTCACGTGATCAAGCTTGGTACTTTTACAAGGGATTCGCACGGGAACATGGGTTTAGTGCACGTAAGGGAACAACACGGCTTGACGTGGAAGAGAATGTGAAGATACAAGAATTTTGTTGTTCCAAAGAAGGGTTTCGAGTATCAAAAGTCAATACTGTTGATCGTCAACGTGCTCATACGCCAATCACAAGAACATGATGTAAGGCTAGAGTCTTAGTTACAACAACAAATACAAACGATCAGTGGGTTATAAATAAGTCTGATCAGAAACATAATCATGCATTGTGCACACCTGCTATGACACCATTTATGCGTTTTAATAGAGCTGTAAGTAAGGTTGATATCGATGAGGCAACAACAATGAAAGAGGTCGGTGTTGGCACGTCACAAGTAATGAACTATTTAACGCAGCAGGCAGGGGGCTATCATAATGTTGGATTTACATATAAAGACCTTTACAATGCACTTCAAAGAGGTAAAGCAAAGGAAATCGTCGATGGGGATGTGAATGCGCTTATTGCCTACTTTGATTATAAGAAACATGATGATCCCGGGTTTTTTATGACATACTCGGTAGACGAATCAGGGGCATTGTATAATCTTATTTGGTCGGATTCTACATCGAGATCGGATTACACATGCTTCGGTGATGTAATTGCGTTCGACACAACGTACAAAGATAATTTGTATGGTTGACCAATTATGCCTATTGTCGGTGTCAATCATCACCATAACACAATTGTGGCTTACGAGATCGTTTAATATTCACGATCGATCCCACTCTCCAACAACCTATATTCAAATTGTTAGAACGTTAAGTATTGTAAACTACAGTGTTGAGTTAATCGATTGACGGAATTGGCCAAAAGGGGGGTGAATTGGCAATTAAAAATTTGGTGGAAGCTTTTGCAGAAAATTGAAAGTAATTGCACAACGATTTAGAGTGGTTCGACTTTCTCAATCAAAGTCTACGTCCACTACCTTAGCTATCCACACTAAGGATTTTCCAACAAATTCACTAATTTGTTCTTTCTTTTGAGGCCAAAGAGATAACCTTACAACACCCTCAAGAATATACCCCAATTCTTGAGAACACTCTTTCCCAAAGAGAAGATTACAAATTTGCAAACTTACAAGGAAAATCTCACAAGGTAAAGAAGTTTGCACAATTCTAGAACAAGAAAAGAACACTCAAAGATAATTACAAATGAGCACAAATGGTGTTCTTGAAAGCAAAATGAATATTGAAAGGAAAATTGGCTTGATTTGCACAAACTTGGTGTTTGATGCTTTCTCTCTTGTTTCTCTATAATTTCTTGTTGATCAAGGGCTTTAGAACTTGTTTAAATACACCTTGAATCACTTCTGAACGTTGGGGATGATTAGTGAAGATCATATAGCCGTTTTAGTGTGAAAACAATTAATAAAACAGCTTGGAGCGTGGGGGGAATCGGTACCCCCTATGGGGAATCGGTTCCCTAAGTGTAAAATTCAAATATTTCGACCGTTATACAAGGGGGAATCGGTACCCCCTGGGGGGAATCGGTTCCCTCCGAGCATACTGGAATTCTTGGAGCCAAACCATTCAGGGGGGAATCGGTACCCCCTTAGGGGGGAATCGGTTCCCTCTGAGCAATCTGGAATTTTTGGCTTTGAAATGGTTCGAAATACTTTGTAAAATTATTTTGAAAATGTTTTAAGATTAAAACTTAATTTTACACTTTGAGTAAGGATTAAAAATGATCTTTGAAAGATTTGGAGTAATGTTTTGATATTCGAATAATTCTATTGAATATACTTAGAAAATCATTTGGAAAATCTTAAAATTCATTTAACTTAATTTGTTATATCGAAATATCAAAATGTTTACAACAATCTCCCCATTTTTGATATAACAAAACATTTTAGTAATTTTAAGATTTTTAAATCAAGTTTTGAAATTACTCCCCCTTACTTTAACACTTCTCCCATTTATCATTTAAAAACACTTTTAACACTTCTCCCCCCTTTTTGTTAAATCAAAAAGACATTTTAAAGAATTTAAACAAGGTTTTGAAATCATTTAGCCAATTGATTATATATAATATAAGCTACTAAGATCACAAGCAAGAGAAACGTTAGCCATTAGTTTCATAATCAATATTCATAATTAATGTGAAATGACAAAATTGGTCATATATCTAATCATGAAGTAAATGATGCAATAATAAATAAATTTAATCACACCAAATAGATAATTTCTAACCATTCATGAATCCAAACAAATTCAAAGTCAATCAATCCACAAATTCAAACATTCCAAAATATTCAAAATGTTAAAACAAGAAGTTTGGAGTTCAAAGCAAAACATTGAATCACATATCTGGATCAGGAGGAGAAAAACGAGCTTGCATAGCGGCCATTTCGTTAGTGAGGTCATTAATACGTGTGTTGGTTGCTTCATTATTTGCACGCATTTCCCGAAGAATTTCTAATTGTTGAGCTCCCCATTATGGATAAATGGGACTCTATAGAAGTAAAGCGCGAATCCATAGTAGCGTATCGAAAATCGAATGTCTCCATAAAGGATTGGAAATATGGAGGCATTGGATGCGTTTGTTGTGCTTGCTCTTCGGGATGCTCCTCAGGCTGCTCAGGTTCATCTTCGGCTTTATCGATGTCTCGCATTAATTGCTCAAGCTCGAGATCTTCGTCAGCTTCGGGTGGAGCTTGTGAAGAACTAGCTCCCGAAGTATTTGCAGAAGATCGAACCCATTAACCGGTTTCCT